GTTCCATACTGAAATGTGTCATAGCAATAAACCTGCCTTATCTTTTCAGATGAGACCAAAGATAAACTTTAGGGTCTAAATGTAAAAACCTATGTGCAATAGAATGTGTGGCAGATTAATGCTTTAAGGATCCCTTTTCTTTTGCCAGAGATAGAGAAAGTGCTTACTGTGGAGGAGAAGGTGGTTCCTAAGGCAGGTTGATCCTGGATGATTATCTGTTAGAGCCTGTGAGAGCTGCTGCATTTTGGGCAGAGGTTCAACATTCAGCAGTACAACATATAACCAACATTTTATTTGACTCTTTTAAAGTTTTGAAAACAAAAACTATTTTATAGGATGTCTACATACAGTATGTACATAATATAATGTTATTGTACATTTAATGTCATTTGGTTTTGGAAATTTGTTGCAATTTTTCTATGGGGAAAATGCTAATGTTATGAAAGTCTCCATTTATTATGTCTATACTTAAAAGCATTATAATTATAGTTTAGGAATATATTTGACCTTAAGTTCTTTATACTCAATATTAAAGGTCCAAAAAAAAGGTCCCATTCTCACAGACTGCAGAGCCCTGGTTTAGACTTTAATACATTTGAGAATCGATCACATGCAGTAAAAAGGCAGGCAAGAAGTTTCAGATTTTTCTATTAGTAGAAAATTATGCTCCGCTTTCCATTGGTCTAATCTAAAGAAATTGGTAAACCAACTGTGGAATTTGGGGCACTTTTTAAAGTTTTGGGTTAGCTGTGGTTGAAAAGGTTGAAAGTTTATGATCTTAATCAGAATTTTTTTGTGTTTATCTTTCAGCTCCAAGCATCAGCCATCGGATTGTGTTGAACTTCACCTTTATGGACACAGAGTGTACCTATGACTACCTATTTGTATACGATGGGGACTCCTACCAAAGTCCACTTCTAGCCAGTCTGAGTGGCAACTCTTTGCCTGAGCCCATTGAAGCCAAGTCTGGGAAGGTAACCTAACATCAATACATTTTAAGTGCTAACAAGGAAATGCATTTTCATTATATAGCCATAATTAATATATAAAGAGAGCATAGATAGAAGATCATACTTGTACACATCATCTGTGATTTTTCTTCATCCAGATGCTGATTCACCTATTCAGTGATGCTAATTACAACCTTCTGGGCTTCAATGCAACATACACCTTCTCGGTATGCCCTGGAGCCTGTAGCGGCCATGGTCGCTGTGATTCCTCTACATCCAAGTGCCACTGCCATCAGGGTTGGGGAGGAGCATCTTGTTCAACCCCTGTTTGTTCCCAGGCTTGTACTGTGAATGGACAATGTGACAAGGTGAGGAGAAAGGGAAAGCTGATGACTTATCACCCCTTTTAGCAAACTATTTTTATCTAATGAAATTGTTCTTACTGACAGAGCCTAAAATAATTCACTCTGTTTCTAACTTTGAATGTTTATATGCTTGTTTTATGTCAGAAAGGAGAACGTTGTCAGTGTAACCCAGGGTTCCTGGGCCAAAGCTGTCAGCTTGGTCTCCGTGACGATAACGGAGCAGGACGGTGGTGGCGTGTAAGTGAGGGAAACCCAAACGCACCTCCAAGGACTGGTTCTGCTGGTGTGTACCTGTCCTCCACTGGAGCCCTGTATTTGTTTGGAGGTGGGTGTAACACATCGTTGAGGCTAATTGATAGAATTTCAGCATAATTCTGCTTTCACTCACTCGTATTTACATACTTTAAAGTTATCTTTCTTTGATCATTTTTAGTCTCAGGGGCGCAGATTATGAATTAAACATTATATTTTTGTAGGTCTGTTATATTTCACTCAGTTTTATCTCTTGTCTCTGACTGAAATTGTCTTGAAGATTCTGATAGTTGTTTTATATCAGTAGCTATTATATTAAATATTTTTTTTCTCTTTTACTGGCAGGATTTGATCTGAACAGGGCTCTTGGTGACTTGATCAAGTACAATTTCACATCCAACCAGTGGGAAAGCAGGTCTTACGGTCACTCCCCTGTAAGTGCTTTGTTATGTTTTTAAAAGAATGCAAAATATTTCAAACGAGAGTATTTTATATTCCAACATCTTAGTTATCATGTTTTGTGTTACACTTTTCTGTTCAGACCCACCATAAACATGCATCCGCTCTACATATTAGGGGACGGCTTTGTACAATGTTGATAGTGTGCCATCAGATCTGTCTGAATGATCACATCTAATATACCCACCTGATATACCATCACATCATATAGTAGCAAGTAGCTCAGCATCATCATCTGCAGGTTCACTGATGTATAAGAAAAATCCCCTTGAAATTAAATGCATTTACAGATTAACCTCAGTTTTATTTCTCTTTTTCAAAGAGCCACGAAATAATTTTAATTTTGAAAGGATAACTTTCCTCAGACTATCCTCCAGGAAGCTGCTCTATCCAAAGGAGTCATTTTCTCTAACCAGGCTAATTCAGGCGGTTATGCTGCTGCATAAATAAATGGGCTCATTTTGGGGCTATTATGTAGGGATCTAGGTCAGTTTCCCACACCACTTCTAAATACTTCCCAGAGAGAAACCTTTCTCTATTCTTATTCAGCTTTCTATTGCTTTTTATTTGTGATCAGATCATCCAGCATATATATTAATGTCAAATCCTAATAGATTTTAAGTAAAACATCATAGTTTATAGCATCTGTCAGAAGTTAAAACATATAGAATCAATATGATCGGAACATTCAACTCATCTGCAACACCAAACTTGCTGCATTTTCTGCGGTAGACAGAATGATGCATAGGTAAGGCTTAGAATTAGACTTAAACCACTTAATTTTAGATTCCTGATTTTATTTCTCCTTTATTTGTCCCTTATGTAAGGTGGCTCGTCACTCCCACACAGCTGTGCAGTACATGGGTTCTATGGTTATCTTTGGAGGAGAGCTAGCCAATGGATCCCTGGCCAGTGACGTCTGGATGTACAGGCCTGTCCAGGATGATTGGCAGCAGCTGGGCTTTTCCCACTCACGAGGCGCTCCGAAACTGGCCAATCACGCTGCAGCGGTGGTCGACAGCTATCTCTATGTTTTTGGAGGTGATCATAATGCCTCACTGGTGTCTGTGTTCACATTGTGGTCTTGTTTAGAGTTCTAAATCTCTGCCAATGTTCCAGGTCGTACCGAGGAGGATATGTTTTCCTCGACTCTGTATCGCTTCGGCTTGCACGGTTCAGGACGATGGGAAACGATTCAGCCCACTGGTGGGAAACCCCCTGCCTCTGCTGGCCACTCCTTGGTGTTCCACAGCCCATCCAGGACCCTGTTGGTCTATGGGGGTCACAGACCTACTAGTGCCAGGTACAAACCTCACACCAAGTATTAGTCGCTCTTCCTTGGCTGATGTTGCAGCAGTTTGTTGTATAGTTTTTAAAGGAAAGTGAGAAAATGATAAGCAGGGCATTGAAAACCTCCACCTACATCAGCGTTTTGATAATTTGATAACAAACCAATAAATTACTACTGTTTAACTATTGTTGTGTATGTTTTTAAGGTTTAGTGTACGAGTGAACAACACAGATGTGTTCCACGTAGACAGACGGTTTTGGACCACGTTTCGTTCCCGCTTTCCAACAACCGGGCCCAGAGAGAGAGCTTTCCATACGGCCACTGTCATTGGAAACTACATGGTGGTCTATGGTGAGAGACGGCAACATTAGAAAACATGATGTTGATTTAAGCTTCTTGTTTTGTTTATCAATGTCCCTCCTTTTTACCAGGTGGAAATGTTCATAATCACTACCAGGAGGAGAAATGCTATGATAAGGAAATCTTTTTTTATCATCTGGGCTGCCACCAGTGGGTGTCGCCTGGAGGAGGATGGTCAACCAGTCAGTAGCGCTGTTTCCTTTAATCTTCTTATTTTATTTTTTTAGCTTTTAATACCTCCAAACAATCCAATTTATTTTGTTTGTTTTCCTCTTTAGATGGGGAAGCAGTGAGGGGGCGGTATTCACATGTTGCCGCGGTGATGGAAGGACGTGTGCTGCTGGTTGCTGGCGGTTACAGTGGTGTTGCCCGAGGAGATCTTGCGGCTTACAAAGTGCCATTGTTTGTTAGCAGTGATCGAGGCGACAGGGTGAGAGTTCAAAGAGCTCCAGCAACTGAATAATAAGTAATAAGAAGTGAAAGTTGGGGAGAAATGGAAGGAAGGGGATTTATTTTGACTTTCTTTTCATCTAGGATGCTGTTTGTGCTGAGGCGCTTGATGAAAGCATGTGCCTGAAGAACCCAGAGTGCAGCTGGTGTGAAGGCCGCTGTAGAGAGTACCAGCCCACCAACCCGGTAACACCTCCATCAGAACATTTCTTTCACAACTTTGTTTTGAACAGATTTGTAGATTTTATAGATACAATGATTTCAAATACATCACTCTCCAATAATGGCTCCTCAGTAGGTTTAATCAAAAGAATTTAAGATTTTGGTTTTTCGGTAAATACACCTGGCTTTCATCTTTCTATCCTAATGACAAAAATCATCTTTTTATGCATTTATTTATTCTCTGCAAAAAACATTCTATGTCTTGATGTCAATGCTTGTCTTGTTTTCTGTTATATAACACCAGTTCTCTGTTTGCAGTGTGGAAGCACAGGGTGCCTGGGCCTTGCTCGCTTTCTGTCAGACTGTCAGTCCTGCCTGGTGTTCAGCGGAACGCCGGCATCTCTTGCTAGAGCCCCTGGTGAATTTGGCTGGTGTGTTCAGAACGAGTCCTGCCTGCCAGTTTCAGGTGAGACGTAAGGAGGGAGGAAGGAGGGCAAAAGAGAAGGATCAAAAGATTTGTTGGGAGCTGACATGGGAGGGACCGACTTCTGTGTGATTGTGTGATTTTGGTGGAGTTGAGTGACTTGACTGCATCCGGCTCTGATTGGACAGGCTGCTCAGGCTCTGATGTGGGTGTCTTGTCTAATCACGTACTTTCTGTAGACATGTCATTTTACTCCCCGAGAGCGCTCCACACAGAAGTCACAGAATACATTTCAGTACAGTAGTACATTATTAGAAACTGCTGTATGATAATAAGAGGTCAGATGTGTTACTTGTGTGCTGACCTCTCCCTCTCGGTCTCACAGAGCAAAGTGCGTGCCGTGCGGACCAGATCTCAGGGGCGTATGGCTGGTGGGGGGAGCGTACCCGTTTCCTAACCTCCCTCCACTCCTGTCGCACCGAGAACTATGTCCCGGGACTGCACCTGCTCACCTTCCAGCACCCCCGCAACGACTCCCAGCCTGACAAGGTACGGAGTCTAAATCTGCACTGCTCACTGTTGTGGTTTTGGTTGTAATCCCTCACATTTGTGTTTATTCCTAATCCTCCTTCCTTCCTTTGAGACTTTGACTCAGCTGCTCCTCTACAACTTTACTTTATTTAATTAATCATTTCTCTGCAGTCTTTTTTCAGTTCTTTCATGGCTCATGTTGTTCTTTTTTCTCTGTTTTGCATTGACATTAGTTTGTACTCCCACTTAGTTATAGACATGTGAAGAAGTTTATAGAGAATAGTGCTTCTGTTGATGTGTTTCCACTTCCATCCATCCACCTCACCTCTCCACCAGGTATCCATCCTCCGCAGCGCCTCCGTCATCCTCGGCCCCACCACAGAAATGGATGTGTCCCTACAGTTCAAGGGCTTCATCCACCCCTTGTGGGGAGGACCTCCACCTGCACCTCCCCCCACAGAGACCGTCCTCATATGGGCTCGAGTCCAGAGGTTCCACTTTGAGGCTCGAATGGCATCAGGACCCAACTCCACCCAAATGGTAAAGACAAATATTATGAAGTAATAGCCTCTAAGATAGCTTTGAAGTTTCTCACAAAATGTTTATTAAAAAATAAAAATAACAACAAAAAAATAATAATAATTAGGAGGACCACTTATTTTGATGATCCACACGGAAAAAGAGCATCCTCCACTAAACCTTAAAGTTAGAATTTATAATGCGAAAACATGTTATAAGGGTGTGAATGTGCCCAGCTCTATGTGAAATTACAGAATATATATTTTATTAATAACTTTGCTGTCAAATTGAAGGAGGTGGTTGGTCGCTGGGCAGCGCAGCAGGAAAAGGAGCTAAAGCCTTTGATGCGACCGGATGGAGGCAGACTTTTCTCTAACCTGACCAGGGGGAACCATTACCTTATTCAAGCTGAAGGCTACCTTAACAACTCGGGTTCAGGACAAACAAGTGAAATGGCCCTGATCTGGAACAGAACATTACGTGAAAGGAGTGTAAGTACTGATAATAGTGCTATGGCTATATTCAGTTATGAAATCAAACCTGCAATAAAAAAGCATATGCTGCCATTTTAAGCAGATTTATGTGCAAACCAATTAACAATTGTTTTTAGATTTTTACTGAAGCCGATTAACAAAACAAAATTCTCTCCCATCAAGGAGATCTCTTTCCTGTTCCTGGAGCCCTTCCGCTCAGGCTCCTGTTCGGGCTACATGTCCTGTCTGGCCTGCCTCTCTGACCAGTCGTGTGGTTGGTGTCCGTCTCTGTCCCGCTGTCTGTTGCGAGACGGCCCAGACCTGCAGTACTGTCCAGAGACAGAAATGGTTGAAGGCAAAGGAGACAGTCAGCGCCATCTGCTGTTGTCACCACAGCATTGTACTCTGTGTGAGGATTACAGAGACTGCTCCACATGCACTAAGGTACTGAATAACTGCTACTTTTAAAGAAAACCTGTTTTCATGGACCATTGTTTTGCAAATATTACATTAAAAATTAGAAAATTCTGCATTTGTATCTGATTCTGAGCTAACTTTGGTCAATAGGATCCTTACTGTGAGTGGCAAATAAACTCCAGTAAGAAAGGAGAGTTTCTGTGCAGCCGGCGGGGAAGGTTGGAGGGATCCATCCGTGACCCAAAGGGGTGTCCGAAAGTCTGCAACCAGTAAGCTGGAAAACTGTTTTAATTTTTTTTTTTTCTTGCTGTATGTTACACAATTTTCTCTGGAATCAATAGTCAGTTGTTGATGCTTTACTATTTTTATCTTAAAGGAGAAAGACATGCAGTGAGTGTCTCTCCAACTCCAGTCAGTGTGCATGGTGTGAATCTGCCCAGGCTTGCTTCTATTTTGCTGCATACCTCACAAAATATCCCTATGGAGAGTGTAGGGACTGGTATGACAGGTAAAGAAAGCTGTGGAATGAACAGTCCTGTTAATTTTTTGTGTGACATTAACTCTTCTCTTTTTCATCACCAGCGTCCATTCAGTTCCTCAGTGTAAGCAGTGTTCAGCTTTAAACACATGTACAGAGTGCCTGAGAACATTTCAGTGTGGCTGGTGTGGGGACTACAACAATCCCACAATTGGAAAGTAAGTATGTAGGGTAGCGAAAAATTATCAGCAGTTTTTAAATGAACTTAAATTTAAAAACTGAATAATATTTATTAATCCTAGGTCTTTGATTATTCACATTGTTTCCTTTGTTTCAGGTGTTTGAGGGGAGACTGGGCCGGAATGGACGATCCATCAGTATATAACTGCAGTGTGGCTGTGGCTGAAGCTCGAGCTGCAAAGTAATTAAATTGTATTTTAGCATAAACATGTCTTCATAGAGTAGATTATGCAAAATATATTATTTATGTTCATAATTCTCTAGAATTGCTTTATAGATAATAACAGGTTACAGTTTTTTAAAGGAGTAAATTAACTAAACAAATGAAATCAATCCAGCTTATTAATTTAGTAATCGAGAATCATTGACTGGAGTATAATGAAGCTAAATCAAGCATCACCAAACCGGAGCCCATGGGCACCAAAAGGCCCTCAAGGATCACACGGGGTGCCCTCATTGTCTTCTGAAAACAGAACACTCTTTTTATTTTATTGCTTTAATAAGAGCAATTCATTATATTGATCATATGTAAACTTTGGTGACCCTTGCTCTAAATGATGTCTTTACCTGACAGAGATACCCAGTTAGAGCAGTAATTAGACCAACATTATAAAACAATCTATTAACATTTTTAATTTAAGATAAAATAAACGTGTTTGTCTGACAATATGCCCTATCCAGAACTCCTCAAGTGAAAAAGTTTTAGTTTCACCATGTTTCATTTCTAAAATCTCTTCTTTAAGGAACCTGGTCCTGTCTGATTATCTCTCCATTAATAAAAAAAATGAATCGATTTGCAAAATAATTGTTAGTTGCAACCCTATTTACACAACTCTTTGTTTGTCTTTCAGTCCAGAACCTCAAACCTCGGCCCCTCCCAGACCTTTGGACATGGAAATGGAGTTGGAGATCTTCGACGATGAGGAGAAAGATGCCATCTGGTCTTACCCCACATGTCCTGACGTGGAGGAATGCAGGCTAGGCCTCCACAACTGTCACCCTTTTGCCACCTGTATCAACACTCCAACCTCGTATGAGTGCCACTGTGAGAGAGGATACACAGGCGATGGCACGCTGCATTGCAACCAGACGTAAGTTTTAAGCATATATACGCTTTTCTCTTTAAACTTTTAGGTGTTTGTTTACTCTGTCATTGAAAGGATGGTTTAGTTTGACATTCTAATGGAAGGTAGCCTTTCTTTTATTCTTTATTTAACCCATCCCCAGGTGTTATAATGAATGCCGTGAAGGTCAGTGTAGCGGCAGCCCAAGGTTTGAGTGTGAATGTTCCCTGGGCTGGACATCCGACCCCGCTACTCTGGTTCTGAGTGGTGTCGAATGCGACGTGGACTGTGGCTGCAACTTCCACTCCACCTGTATCACTGCTCCTGGGATCTGTGATGAATGCCAAGGTGAGGACTTTATCTCTTTGATTCCGTGTAGTCCATATTTTCCTAAAGGCCAATTTATGCTTCTGATGCATAGCCTCTGCAACCGTCAAGCGCGTTGGACAGTCACAAACCCGCGCAAAACTCTAGCGGAAGTGCGCAGACAAAAAGCAGCTGAGATGGTCCTTGGTAGGCCTTTCCGGCTGTCTGTGTTGTCGTCTTTCTTGATTCGGTGCCGGGGCGCGCCATTTTTAAAAACAGGGGAACAACTACATTGGAAAATTACGAAGAAAGGTTAATTAAGGAGGTTCGGAAGTACAACCACTAGTAGGATGCCTCAGACGAATTATATAAAGATACCAAGGTCTCTGCCAAAACGAAGTTCTCGTGACCATCTGCCGAAGTTCTCGTGAGTTCTCGAATAGGCTTCCCCTTGCGCTTTTGTGAGAAACTACTGTGCGTCCCTAGAAATTCCAGACCTACGGTGCAGAAGCATACCAGCAAAACTGGTTCAAAACCAGACCCAAGAAACATTTGATGTGTGCGGTTGCAGAAGTGCAATCTGCCCTTAAGAAAGAGCGAGGTACTGTTGTGTTATTGTGTGGCTTCATACTTTGTTTACAATTGTTTTTCATTCTTGTTCTAGATTGGACCACAGGACCTCATTGTGAACACTGCCGTCCAGGCAGCTTTGGTTCGGCCCTGGCTGGCGGTGGTGGCTGTGTCCCATGCGAGTGTAATGGACATGGTGACCCCCTCCAAGGTTATTGTCACAACCAGACAGGCCAGTGTTACTGTACTCATAACACCCAGGGACCACACTGTGAGTCCTGTCTTCCTGGTTACTATGGAGACCCGAGGTAAGGATGATTTACTTTTCATTGGAAAAACTAAGTGATTCTTATATCATGTTGTTTTATGTAATAAAAGAATGAATTTAACTGAAGGATTTTTCTGACAAACAGAAACAATGGCACATGTTACCGGCAGTGTCAGGGCCGCTCCGTCCTGCTCTCCTCCTCATCCTCCTCCTTGACTATCCCCTTGTCGTCGTCTCTGGGGTGGAGGAGTGGTACCGAAAGGAAAGGAGGACTTTCTCACTGTCTTTGGGTCTTGTCTGTCACTGAGAAGCTTGGACCTTGCAAACCCAAACAGCTCTGCCCCCCAGTAGCTCTCACCTTACACCCAGACTCCCACACCTACTGTAATGTGAGTTCGAACTTTTCTTTGGAAAAGATTCAAGTTAAAGTCAAAGCTGCTTTGTAGCAGAAAAAAGGTTTTTATCCAGTAGTTTGATCAATTCTGAATGTATGTTATTTCACAGACATCTTATGTTTACGTGTTTGATGGCCTTCCTCGTTTTCTGCCAAATGGAGTCGTTCATTCTGATCACAACCTTATTGGAGCGTTTTGTGGCACCAAAAGGACTCAGCCAATCACTGTTGAGGCCACCTCAGGTAGACATCATTCATTCCTGATCTCTGGGTTTTTTAAAGTCTTCTTTGCTGTAGGCAGTTTATGCACATTCAGAATTAACAATGATCCATCTTCTTTTTGAACAACAGGTGTGATCTCAGTCTACTTTGAGGCCAACGTTTCTTCAAATATGTCACAAGGCTTTAACGCATCTTTCTGGGTGCGTCGATGTCAGCAGAAGTCGGATGAGGATGAAGAGGGCTCAGCTGTCTGTGCAGGTGGAGCCCAGTGTCAGAGTGGGCTCTGCAGGTGTCCTCAGGGATATGGGGGACCGTACTGTGACCGACCCATGTGCCCCCAGGATTGTGGAGCAACAGAAGGAAGAGGAGTTTGTAACATAGTAAGTCTTCTTGTCTATGTAATCTTGTGATCTTGGAAATAAACTCAAAAAGTTTTTTTTTAAATGAATAAATACATATTTGTTTGTATTTTAATCATTTACCCTGCCAGCTGGTATGCTAGTGGTTAAACATTTTGATTTGCAGTTGATTTTTACTTTTATTTTCTCTTTTTTGTTTGTTTTTTGTGTATGTGGACTATGGATACGATAACACTGCAGCCCAAAAGTTACCCAAATCTGATTTTTTTTGCCCATATGGAACCTCTATCAGATATTTTCATGGCAGCCTTAACAACACAGATCCAATGTTTTCCATTGGGACTAAAGCCTCTTTGCTATGTGGTCCTGAATCTGATACGAATCTGATCTTTTCAAATGCAATTTGTGTCTGAACGGCCAGGTCGCATTCATTCGACCTGAAAGTCATTAATACCCGACAAAGGTCACTATTCTGCATTTAGCTACGCATAAGCAGAAAAAAAAAAACAATCATGGTGGATGATAATGCGGAGAGCAGTCTTTTTTTTTTTTAACCATCTTTAAAAGTTTTGTTTTTAATGTTGGGAAAGATGGCTAGCTGAGCTCCAGCCTTACCATGCATGTTTACTTCCGTAAACACAGGGCACGCTTGCTTGTGATGTCATTGCGTCCTCTGCTGCGCATGTGGGACACTTAAGCTGTATGAATGCAGTTCACACAGGAGATCACATACAAGTCACATATATTTGAGAAATGTGAACGGCAACACAAGAAAAAAATAGGATTTCACAAAAATATCGGAATTGAGCATTAAGGCCTGCAGTGTGAACGTAGCCAATGAATCTGTTTTGAAAAAAAAATATCACATTGGAAAATGTAACTAAACTCAGCCCAAAGTTTGGATTACCCGTGTTAGTTTGGGGTCAGAGGGTGGTGAGAAATCTCTCTAAAATAGATTATTTTGTTGTTGTCATTAAAAATTATTATGGTTTAATTACTACCCTTCTGATAATATTTGGCAACCTATTTCCTTTTACTATTTTCTCTAAAGTTTTACAAGATTGGAGCAGACAATGAGATTAGATAGTTGTGTTATTTCCTTGCGTCTTTTTTCCTAAAAAAGATTGCCCTTTATTTGGCTTCCATTTCTTATTAAAGTCAATCTTAGTGACCCCAAAATGCCACTTTCTAACACTTTATGGCAGCCGGTGGCTAAAATAAACTTGCCTTCATGTCAAGGAAACAGAAAGTCCTGGATTAACTTTTAATGAGAAAAATGAATAAAAACTTCAGCTCCATTTTTTTTTTAAAGAGATTGTTTGGATGTCAACCATTGTGCCACCAGTATTTTTTGTTAAAAACAATACTCTCCTAATACATGATCCATTAGATAAACTGGATCCAATTAAGGGTTGGTTTTTATACCTGTATTAGATTATATGGGATAAAAGCTGACATATTTTTTTTCCCAAATGGACCAGCTGTTGCATGTTATACATAACTATCACTATCTATGTGTTCTAGTCTCTGGGAGTCTGTGTGTGTTCTGAAAGCTGGGCTGGCTCAGACTGTTCTGTTCTTCGGGACCCAAACAGTTTGATTTGGGAGACTCTGTTTGACACCCAATTGACCATGGTAGGCCCTAAACAAATTTAAACTAAAAAATTTACATTTTTATAATCTGAGCAGTTGATAAATTAGAAATCCTCCCTGACGTTGAAACATTTCTGTTTTACAGAAACAGGCTCACAGGTTCCTCCACAGGATGGGACACTCTCTGGTGTCTGGACCTCAGGGCAACCTTTGGATGTATGGCGGGTTTTCTCTGTCAGATGGTATTCTCGGAAATGTGTACAGGTAGGACTCTGAGATGTTTTAAAATTTGGTGATTTTTAAGCAGGTTATTCGTTATGTGGTTTATGCCGTATGGAATAACGAGATCCCTACTGGTTGGTTTAGATATTCTGTGAGGGAGCGTCGATGGACCCAGATGTTGACAGGTTCTCTGGATGAAGGGACAACTCCAACCGCCCGCTATCATCACGCCGCTGCATTGCTGAACACCTTTGAGCTGGACTCCGGGAGCCATGAGGGTGGTCACAGCTTTATGTTAGTGGTAGGGGGGGTCACTCAAAATGGCATTGCCATGGATACTTGGAGTCTTAATCTCAGCAGCTTGGTCTGGAGAGAACACAAGGTTAGCTTAAGTTTTAAAGTGTATTTAGAAAATATATATATATATATATACATATATAAAACAGATCTTTGAAATGTGCCACACTTAAATCCATTGATCTCTGCTGTCTGACAGAGCTCAGTGCTGCCCCCGGTGGCTGGTCACACTTTAACAGTACGTCGGGACTCGGTGCTACTGATTGGAGGCTACTCTCCAGAAAACGGTTTCAACCATCATCTGTTGGAGTTCAGCCCTCATTCAGGGAACTGGACAGTTGTTCCCCACACAGGAACCCCTCCCGCAGGTTTATTGCTGCTTTTTTTTGTCATATATAATAAAAGTGGATAGAACAGAAAAGAAAAATGAATGGATGAAACTAAAAAAATGTTGTCCCGCTCAGAATTCTGATGCTATGTATCCCCCTCTGTCAGGTTTATATGGACACTCAGCAGTGTACCATGAGCAGACGGATGCCATCTACGTGTTTGGAGGCTATCGCTTTCATGTGGAAACAGTGGAACCATCGGGGGAACTCTATAGCCTGTATTACCCCAACCTTACCTGGTCTCTTCTGGTTCCCACACAGGGCACAAAGGTCAGTAGTTAGCCATGTTCTTTTGTTTTTATATACCTTTTGAGTATTTTTTTTTTTATAGATACATTTTTTTAATGCTGTATCATCTCTTTGTTTTACAGCCACTCTCCCGTTTCTTCCACGCCGCTGCTATGATTAAAGACACCATGGTCATTGTGGGTGGGAGGATAGAAGAAGAAGACTACAGTAACTCTGTGTCTCTGTACCAGATCAACTGCAACACCTGGATAAATCCTGGTAAGTCTCTTAATCTTGAACTGCTGATTTATTTTAAAATGTCATATTGTGCAAGCTTATTTTCTTTTTCAATCTTTTATTCAGTTTCAGCAATAGGAGATCCAGTTAATCAATCAGTTTCCCTTGCCATGGCAAGCTGGGGTGGTCGCCTTTTCCTCTCTGGTGGCTTTAATGGGGTCACACTGGGTAGACTCCTCACTCTGACTGTGCCCTCTGACCCCTGTGCCGTCCTGCCCACACCAGAGTCCTGCAATAACAACACAGGCAGCTGTGTTTGGTGCAGGGGTACCTGTGCTTCTTCTGATGCCGCAGAAAGGTAACATAGACAAAAAGCATCTATGATTTAAGCTAGAAGTTATCTGTACCCTCTGCATTTTATGCAGCTTACCAGACACATTGATTCTCCCCCAGAATGGGCTGCCTCATGGGACATTCCACCTGCTCCCCGATTCCTCATCAACCGGAACAGTGCCGCAGACTCAAGACCTGCGGCGAATGCCTCGCTCGTCACCCTAAAACCTTTTCCGGTCCATCTCAGGTAACCTACTTCAATTCCTATGTACCACCTTTACAAAAACCTTCATTAAGCCTTTTTTTCTCAATTCCCCAGCCTGCTTTACCGTGCAAGTGGTGCGCAAACTGTCCAGAGGGAGCCTGTATCAGTAGCTCCAACAGCTGTACAACAGAGCATGACTGTCGGATCAACCAGAGAGAGATTTTCCTGTCCAGCAACTGCAGTGAGACCAGCTGTGAGGCTTCAGACTGCCCCAAATGTACTGCATCTGGAAAATGCATGTGGACCCGCCAATTCAAACGTACAGGTACACAAACTTCATCTGGAGATCTTAATTTGATGAAAATTATTGTTTGTTTCTGAAAATGTCATGTTGATTAGATTTAGACATTAGTTTGATGAACACCATATGGCCTCATTCCCGGGGCGACCCAAGTACCCCGCTGTACTTTATCTACAATGTTTAAAGGCCACCTGCTCTGTTTCTTTCACAGATTGAAATCTACTAAAATGCAAAACATTACCTCCAACACAATGGATTGTATATAATTGTTTTTTTACCCTGCACTCTAATACTTTGACATAAACAGATTTATTTGTCATTTTGTTTAAACAAGTGTAAAACAAAAAGACATTTCGATTGGAACAGCTCTCTGGACGATTCCATCTTTTTTAAAAGTGCAGCCTTGAAAAAAGGAAAGAAATATATATATTGTATATCCATTGTAGGATTAAAATACCCTGTGGATTGCATGTGAATTATAAACTGAAATTTTTTATCCAGAATCAAATAAAAAAAAGAAGGAAATGGGATCAAAAAAGTTAGTAAATGTCATGCCTTTCTTTAAACAAAATGTACGTTATGGATCATCTTAGATTTACAGATTTCGTTTCTTTAAATCTTGACATTTTGTACAAAAATCAAAATACAAAGGAGAGGAATGTAAGAGTTTCTGTTGTTTAAATGAACTGCATTCTGTGTATGAGTTAGTTGAAAAATGGCTAACCCAGGTCACTATTTTGTTAATGAATTCAGTGTAATGTTCCTCCTTCAGGTGAAACAAGGCGAATCCTGAGTGTGAACCCCGCCTATAACTGGACATGTTTTAGCTACGCGCTGCTCAACGTTTCACCAATGCAGGTGGAGTCATCTCCCCCTCTCCCATGTCCCCCTCCCTGTCACACGCTGCACAACTGCAGCCTCTGTCTGGGCTCTAGGGGCTCTGATGGGGGCTGGCAGCACTGTGTGTGGAGTATGGCTCTCCAGCAGGTAACAGCAAACTGCTTCATACATTCTGGCTCTGATCTTCTTTAAGTTATCCCGACGTTTAAAAAAATAATTTGTTTCATGTTTCAGTGCATGAGCCCGTCTTTTGTGCCCCTTCGCTGTGAAGCAGGCCAGTGTGGCCGAATTCTCATTGGGGGAGACTCCTGCTCTCCAAAGTGCTCCCAGCTCACCCAGTGCTCCCAATGCATTGCCAGACCTCAGTGTGGCTGGTGTGCTATTAGCGGAGGCAATGGAGCTGGCCGCTGCTTGCAGGGTGGAGTTGACAGTAAGAAAAGAAAATCCTTAAGGAATTCGCAAACTATTTATGTTAAATGCAGTCTCTATGATTTTTTTTTTGGAGTTGTTAACATTGATCTCTCATTTTAGGTGTGAGTGAGGGAGTTTGCCCCGTGAGAAACAGTAGCTGGTCTTTCCTGCATTGTCCAGAGGAGGATGAGTGTGCCAATGGTCATCACCATTGCAACAACACTCAGGACTGCCACGACTTACCTGAGGGATACCACTGCACATGCAAGCAGGGTTACATTCTTAACAGGTACATAATAACTGTCAGTAAAGCTGCTTTTCTTGCTATATCACCACCTATAACTGCATATCAAATGTGCTTTTATCCGGACTAAAAAATAAAACATGAAGGCCTGTCACTTCAAATCAGGATGTGTTTCACATATGAACTGATCTATATAATGGTTGCTGATTAGGATATATAGACTTCTACTGGGTTAGGACAGAGTTAGTTACTTTATCTGCAACCCCTTTGCTTCATTGTTGCTGTTTCCTTACTTCTGTCCTTTATCTAACAATCATTTGTCCAACTTAATGATTATCTAAAGTATAAGCAGACAAATATTGAATTAATGAGAAACCAGGTCCGGCTGCCCTGCTATGAAAACCAATTCAAACATTTGGCATGCAGAGTTGAGAGTAGTCATCGTTGTAGACAAAATAGATAATTGGTCATTTGTAGAGATGCACTGATCGATCAGCCTTGATTTTTTTAAATTTTGGAAGATCAATGATCGGCCAATACTTAGATATGATATTGATCTTTTACACCAAATCTAAATTACCCCTGTAAAGGTCTGAAACTCACCCACTGTCTATGCTTTAAACTTTAAATTATAGTAGAGAGTAGTTGTTTCATGGGCAATGAATAATGTTTTTTCAGGAAGATAAAATTAAATTATCTTGTGTATATACAGTGGCAGTAAAAATAAATTAGTATTAGTAAAAATCGTAATCGGCATGTCGGGCTTTTTAAAGATTGGGAATCGATCATCAGACAGAATCGCGTTATCGGTGCGTCCTTAGTCATTTGGTCATAACTTATTTAAATGCAGAATCTGACAGACTTAGCTTGAAATCCAATGCCATAGTATTAAAGCTGCATATTCTTTCATACTATTGAACTGTTTTATAGGGTACCACTTCTTGCTTTAGAGTGATATTGATGGTTTGACCATATCTCCATCTCCTGTGTTTCTTCTCTTCAGTGTTTCTGGGCAGTGTGAGCCGGTGTGTGCACAAGGTTGTGTGAACGGGACATGCGTGTCACCTGGAGTTTGCCGGTGTCACTTTGGTTTTGTTGGGGACAACTGTTCCTCTGAGTGCAAATGCAACAAACACAGCAACTGTGTCAGTGTTGACAAGCCCGACATTTGCCTGGTGTGCCAAAATAACACCAAAGTAAGTGTCAATAAAAGTGTACCATCTGCACACTTAAGCTTTTCCATACACAGCAGTCATCAGTGGTTTTGCTTGTTTGAATTCTAGGGAAAGTACTGCGAAAAGTGCAAGCCTCTATTTGTGGGTTCTGCAATAGATGGCGGAACCTGCCGCCCATGTCGGGAATTTTGCAGGGGAAACGGAGACGTGTGTCTGTCCAGGGATGAACATAACAAGGCTATTGAGAACCCTCACCTCTTCCCTGTGGACCCTTTACTTGTAAGTCTGAAGTAATTCCTGTTATTTCCTTAAAATAAATACAACAGGAAGTTTAATTACGTTTTTTTATCTCTTTTTTTCCTTTGTTGAGATTCGGAGCTGGGTGTTTGAAGGTCCTACAGAAAATACTGCAGTGTGTGTGAATTGCCAAAACAACAGTGTTGGGGATCGGTGTGAGGGCTGCCGTCGTGGCTATTTTCTCCTGCATGGGAAATGTGAAAAGTGAGTAATACGTTGTGCTCAGGAGACAACAGATTCCCTGTTGACTGATGTCAAAAGGACTGTTTATACCTCTTGATTTTTTTTTTTCACATTTTGTTACATTTTCCCCCAAGTTAAGCAGATTTTTAACAGTAGACATGTATAGCAATATATATGTTTTCATCTTAAAGAAAAACAGTCAATAAACGTTTCCTGTAACTGCAAAGTGAAATAATATAGAATATATGGTTTTAAGTATCTTTTAAGCAAATAGAAATAACAAAAATCTCTTGTCTTAAAGTATTAAATCTTGAAGCTTTTTTCTGATGTATAGCACTTTAAAATGTCCTGCCATTACCATTTGTTATCAAGCAGAGGTTGGCATGCGGAGTCACCAAGTCATCTCAATACCACCCTGTTCAGTGGTTAAGCACAACTAATACTTGGCGTGGGGATGACTTGCTGATGCTAAAATAAATAGCTAATTAAATAAACTTGCCTTGCACTAACGGATATATCTCTGGTCCATGTCTTGTTTTATTTTATCTTCATCATTTAGTTTATTCACTTGGACAGAATGAGAATGTACATTTATGCTGAGATTAGATAATGTATACTTTGAACTGCTAATTGTGTGGCTTTTAGAGTCCGTTGTCTTAAATGGACTTTATTGTTTTTTAATCACATGAAACTGAAAACAAATGCATAACCCATTTTGATTTTATATATGTTTTTATTCTTTACTATGTAAATATTATTGTGACACTGAGCTTTTAAGCAAAGTTTATTGCAGTTAGTGGCTGTAACATGAGATCATCTTAACATAGAAACAATTTTCCAATTCAAAAATTATTGTTATTATTTATTTTATTTTTATTATTTATATAAAACAGAAACAATGCACTATTACTTGTATTATTGAAGGGCATAATGTTAGGTCTGCATATGTATAACCTGTCAGGTTATAGATATGTTTTAGTAACAGCACCATCGGGGGGTATTTTTCTCTCTGATCTAAGTTAATTAGAAAAGTTAGATGAGCTAGACAACAGGAATCATTTGGTGTCTAAATACTAGAAAGCTGACAAAGACCATAGTTACCTTTGATATTGATACTTTTAACTGCTGTTGTGCTGCTTGTTCTTTAGATGCTAGTTAACTTTTCTTTGCAGATGTCAGTGTAATGGTCATGCAGACACATGTGAGCCAGATGGCAGTGGATGCCCCTGCCAAAACAACACAGAGACCTCATCCTGCCTCAGCAGTCCTCAAAATGATCGAAAAGACTGCTACAGGCAGCAGGTTTGAAAAATCTGTTTTTGTGATCAGCATTTATACCTCATTCTTTCTTAATATGTGTTATAGTGACTGCATTTTTTTATGTATTTGTTTTCTTTCTCTCTTATTCAGTGTGCCAAATGCAAAGACTCATTCAATGGTAACCCTGTGAACGGGCGTCAGTGCTACCGTCAGTTTAACGTGGATTCAGAGTTCTGTTTTGATCCTACGTCCCAAACGAACTGCTTCCATGATCCCACCATTCGCAACCTACCCAAGGGTCGCACCGTGTTCTTTGCTGCCCAGCCCAAGTTTACAAATGTGGACATCCGGGTCACCATTGATGTGACGTTTGGAGAAGTGGAGGTTTATGTGTCCAATTCACATGACACTTTTATTGTGAATGTGGACCGCGCCACAGGGATTCATACTATTAAGATAGAGGATGAATCAGCAAGTCGTGCGACAGCAGCAGACAAGGATTCTCCTCCATCCCCTATTAAAGTGTTCGCCAACGCCACATCCAACATGGCAGGTCCCTTGCTTTCCCACAATCCCCTGCAACTGCAAGCCAAACCCCCGGGGGCGGAGCGAGAAATCAGAGAGGAGCGCGCCGAGGGACTCATCTCATACATCACCGTGTGGAAGCCGCAGACGGTGCTGATCGTCCGGGGAGTTCGGGATCGCGTGGTCATCACCTTCCCGCATGAGGTGCATTCCCTCAAATCCAGCCGCTTTTACATCGCTCTCAAAGGTGTTGGAACCGGCGACAGACAGGGCGAGTCCCAGGGCCTGCTGTTTGTGCGACAGGACCAAGCCCACATAGACCTCTTTGTCTTCTTCTCTGTTTTCTTCTCCTGTTTTTTCCTGTTCCTCTCCGTCTGTGTCCTCTTGTGGAAGGTCAAGCAGTTCCTAGACTTCCGCCGGGAGCAGCGCCGCCACATTCAGGAGATGACCAAAATGGCATCCAGACCGTTTGCTAAACTCACCATATACCTCGAACCAGAGGAGCCTCAGCTCATCTACCTACCTTCAGCCGGTGGGGGGGTGGGGGGCAGCACTGTATCCATCGCTCATGCCCGCACAGGGAAGTTGAGCGGAGTGGTGGTGGGCCAGAGAGGCAGAGCGGGACCTGTCTACAAACACGACCCAGGCTCTGGACCCACAGCGCACCACCACCACCATCATCATCATCACCTCACCTTAAGCAGTGGAGGGAACAGCGGACAGCATCTGCCGCTTCACTACTTAAACACCCATCACTACGCCAGCACCACAGCAGGCACCCAGTCCTCTCACCATCACCATCCATCCACGTACTCTGGCTACCAGCAGTTTTGCCGCTCTGACCCTTTCCTCTCGCAACTCATGGGTTTCTCCTACTCCTCCTTTAAGGTGGGGCCGATCACCCTAGAGCCCACCGAGGACGGCATGGCCGGGGTGGCCACCGTCCTTTTCCAGCTACCTGGCGGTGTGTTGGCACCAAATCGCGCCTGTTTGGGTTCTGCACTGGTTACCCTGCGGCAAAATCTGCAGGAATATTGTGGCCACGGCGGTGGGGGCGGGCATCCGGGGGGCGGCGCCGGGCGCAAGGGTTTGCATCAGCACCTGACCACAATGGCTATCTAAGAGTGTAACAGATTACAAAGAGATGTGGAAGCTTGTAAAGTGTTTGGAATATTATAAATGAACTTTTTGAAAGAATCTTAGCTATAAGACAAAGTCCAAAAGAAAGTTACTGTACATTCAGTAAGATTAGCTTTTTGAACAGACATGTACATACACTGTATTATGAAATAAGTGTCTTATATTGTTTGATGTATTGCTCTATGATATTTCAACACTACACATGACCAAGTCAGCTGTATCTGCAATGCACTACAAAATGCTACTCTACAAAATAACCCTTTAGTGATCCCAGAAGGGGTGGAACCACACCGAACGCGGACTCTATTAAAAGTTATTCACCCAGAAAATGGGACAGAAGAAAATTTAGAACCAAATGCACGTGCTTTAAAAAAAAAAAGCGACAATCTTTTAGTGCAAAAAAATAAAATAAGATTGGAAAAATAATGTGCATATTAGTGCTAAAACCGTTGCTTGTGAAATGGTTACTTTATCAGTCCATGTTTGCGATTTATAACTGACTCTACCTGTTTTAGTTAAATAAACCATTGGGTATGTTTTTTTATATATTTATCCACCTTTTCTGTTATTTTTGTCTTATCTGCCTTCACTTTATGCCTTTTTCTGCAAGTCAGCAGGCTAACACTTGAAACTCTCCTGGTAAAGGTGTGATGCGCAGCTGCCGGAGAGAGTTAAACAATGTTCTACATTTCAAAACTTGTTTTGCTCTTTTAAGGAAGTGACATGAGATAATGTTTTTTGCATTGGTGTTTTATTCTTGCCTGTAAAACCATGTATCAAAAACTACAGGACTGGTCCATAATAGATGAAAAAAACTTCCTGTTTAAACCTGTTTTTTTTGTTTTTGTTTTTTACAAGATATCAGTTAACAGCTACACTACATGATTGTAATTGCTAAGTATTAATACGGTTTATAATGTAAGTTTGAGAAGCTCTGAGAGCATTTGAGCCTGAATCACTTAACTGTGCTGTGTCGGCATTAGTGTTTCCTTTCCTTTTTGTTGTTTTCTTTGCACTGCATGGAGCCAGCGGCCTCCTGACCAATATTACCCATTTCGCCGGTAGCACACATTGTTAAAAAAAAAAAGAACTGACAGTGATGTTGCTGGATTTATCTTATCAGATTAAATGAAACAGTGTTTGTTTTCTTTCATCAACTGAATAATAATGAGGCAAACTAAATCTCAAACTGAGACTGTTGTTATTTATAGGAGCCCATCGTGAATAAACATTTGTCTTGTATCTTTGTGCATGAATAGATTTTTGTTTACATGCTTTATTTTTGTACATAACCTCTGTTGTGTTTGATTATTTTTTGTTTGATTTCAAAGAAAGGGAACAGTATTGTGCAAAAAGACTGAGTAAAGCTTCAATGTCCTGATTCAGCTGAAATAAAAAAGTCTGTGGAACTTGTTTTGCTTTTGTGTTTATTCTTTGTATTATGCAGATGGTAGCTGATATACATTACTGTGGTTCCTCAGTATAAAGGTATTGAAACCCATTTTGTTGCAGAAGTAGCTCAGTACATTAAGAAAATGTATATTTTGTGTCTGTGTCAGGACTCGGCCTGCTGAGCCGTGCAGCTTGCTGCCGGTTCGGTCTCCTCTGTTTATCTTGCAAAGGTGTCTGTCGTTTGACTGGTGGGAGGGGAGCGCACACCTGAGTGTAGTTCAGCAGCACCGGCCTATATGAACAGCGGGAGGACGCCAGGGTGTTCCCGTTGTGGTATGCCAGATTTCAGAGTTAGCAAAACTATTGTCTTCATCGAAGCCTTCAACTTGAATGTTAGATCCAGTTCCAACCAGGTTATTTAAGGAGGTATTCCCTTTGATATCCTCCTCCATCTTAGATGTGATTAATCTATCTCTCTACAGGGGTATGTACCTAAGGTTTTTAAGGTTGTTGTAATTAAACCTCTGCTTAAGAAACCGTCTCTTGACCCAGATGACTTGGTCAGTTATAGACCTATATCCAATCTTCTCTTTTTATCTAAAATTCCTGAGAAAATAGTTGCCAAACACGTGTGCGATTACTTACACCATAATGAACTTTCTCAAGAGTTTCAGTCTGGCTTTAGAGCTCATCATAGCACTGAAACAGCTCTGGTGAAGGTTACTAATGATATTTTCTTGGCCTCAGATAATGGACTTGTATCTGTGCTCGTCCTGTTGGATCTCAGTGCCACATTTGATACAGTTGACCATAATATTCTTTTAGAAAAACTTGACCATTTTGTTGGAATTAAAGGAACAGCACTAGACTGGTTTAAATCTTATCTATCTGATCAATTTCAGTTTGATAATGTTATTGAAAAATCTTCCTCATGCTCAAAGGTTACCTGTGGAGTACCACAGGGAGCAGTACTTGGACCAATTCTCTTTACTATATATATGATCCCAATTGGTAGAAATATTAGACAGAATAATTTTCACTGTTATGCTGATGATACCCAGCTATATCTGTCTATAAATCCAGATGAAGCTAACCCATTACATAAATTACAGGCATGTCTTGAAGACATAAAAACCTGGATGACTCTTAACTTTCTCCTGAATGCAGACAAAACAGAAGCTTTAGTCTTTGGACCAGAATCTTTGAAAAAGAAGCTAATCAGCCAGTCACTTCATTTGAATGGGATTGAACTGATTTCAGATAATAAAGTAAAAAATCCTGGTGTTGTTTTTGATCAGGACCTGTCATTTAAATCCCATATCAAAGAAGTTTCTAGAATGTCCTTCTTTCTTCTGTGGAATATTGCAAAAATTAGAAATATTCTGTCCAGGGGTGATGCTGAGAAACTAGTCCATGCATTTGTTACTTCAAAGCTGGACTATTGTAATTCTTTACTATCAGGAAGTCCACAAACTATTTAAAAGCCTTCAGCTGATCCAAAATGCTGCAGCCAGAGTTCTAATGAAAATGAAAAAGAGAGATCATATCTCACCTATCCTAGCTTCTCTTCATTGGCTTCCTGTTAAATCCAGCAAAATATTTAAAATCCTCCTTCTCACATATAAAGCCTTAAATGGCCAAGCTCCATCTTATAAGATATGATTGTTC